ACCTGCTCCTCTCTGAGAAGGTCCCCCATGGCTGAGGGGTGGTGTGAAGCTGGACTCACCTCAAGAGCACCACCATTGCACTTGGTGATTAATAATAGCTCAATAATTATATATGTATGTATATATGTACATATATTTACATATATATATATATATATATATATATGTGCATGCTCAGTCTTGTCTGACTTTTTGTGACTCCATGGACTATAACCTGCCAGGCTCCTCTGTCCATGGAATTCTCCAGGCAAGAATACTGGAATAGGTTGCCATTTCCTACTTCAGGTGTCTTCTGCATTAGTATGCAGATTCTTTACCAATGCATTACCTGAGAAAGTCATATATACTTGTATGCACGCACACAAACACACTTTATATATACAGTGCTTCCCTGATGGCTCACTGGGTAAGGTATTGCCTGCAATGCAAGAGATACAGGAGACATGAGTTTGATTCCTGGGTCAGGATGATTCCCTATATGTGTGTGTGTGTATGGAGAGAGAGAGAGAGAGCGAGAGAGAGAGAGAGAATGAGTGCTCCCCTTCTCTATTTATCTACCTATATATGTATATATTTATATAAAGAGAGGAGAGAGAGAACTTGCATAGGTTTAAATTGAAATCTCATATTACATCACTTCTAAGATGCACATCTCTTGGTTACACATTTCTGAAATTAGTACATGTCTTATATTTCCTAATAACCAGGAAATACTCATGAAAAAGTTACCATTGTTCTAGGGTTAATTTTGTGTATACTTTTCTTTTTGCTTACACACAAGAGTGATGTAAGATTAAAATCTATGTCTAAGTTTAGAAGAACTCTCCTAGTAAGTGTAAAATAAACATACAAAATGGTAAGAAAACTGTGTGTCTGAACATTATGCCTGGATCTAAATGGTAACATCTTTTTTCTTGGTGGTGTATAAATAATAACGCATCTTTCAATGTAGAGGTCCTAGACTCAGAGACATGCAGTGCGACACTTTTCCCTTCCTCTGGTCTCACAGAGTATTCTCTGATAGTCAACAAAGTCCTTTGGAAAGTCAAAATATTCTTTCCTTTCTCCCAAGGCTTCTCTTCAGCTACTACACTGACTAATAGTTTATTTGCATATGGGGTTTCTAATTTTTATTTCTATGAATGTGAAAAGCATTGCTAGAGAAAATTAAATATTTTCTATGATGAAGTAAAATTATATCACTTTGACTGGTATCTTAGTATGGTATTTCTACAGATTTAGCAGTCACCTCAATGTGAGCCATTACCACATTTTGCAGATCCAAACCACATCCATACTTTGTATAACTCCCAACCCCCCTCACAGTTCTGACCACTTCTGAACAATACCACTTTCAGACTACATTCATTCATTTCACCAGATGTTCATAAAGCAACTACTATCTGTGAGGCCCTATGACAGGCACTGTGGACACAAGGATGACACGCAGGAGGAGAGACATGCCTTTGGCTTTGGCTTTCCTACCTACTTGCTCTAAAGACAGATAAGAAACTGGGCAGACACCCTGGAGTGTAATGAGTCCCAGGGATAGTCACCTGCAATAAGAGCAGCTACAAACAGCTTCTCCCAAGTTCCATGTCCTGCTCTCCCATGTGCTGCTTCCCCAACCCCAGTATCTTCGCCTTTGTTCCTCCCTCAGAGCCAGAGAGGTGTCTGCTCGCCTGGGGGTCCACCATCCCTTGTGGCTGATCCCCTGCCTCCTGCTTCCCCTGACTCTACTGTTCTTTCTTTAGCTTCAGCATCTCCCTCTCCTTAGCTCCTTCCTGCTTCTTAAAGCTCGTCTGACCTTCTTTGAAAGAAAACTTTTACTAATAAACAATACATGAATTCAATTCTTCATTTATTAATTTCCAATAAGCACTCGTTGAAATTCCATTATGTGCCAGGACTGGATATTCAGATATAAACAAGAAAGAAATGGTCACTTCTCTCACTGATTCTATAATAAAAGGGAGGAAGATGGACCAAAACAAAGTCCAAAAAAAAAATTCAGAAGAATATACCAAAAATTTAGTACAAGAAACCCACATATTGAAATTAGCAAAAAGCACAGAATAACCAGAATAGATCAGCCAGGGTGACCAGGAAGACCTTTCTCAAGAAAGAGTGATCTCAGGAGAGACAGGTGAGAAACACCCAGTCATGTGAAGAACAAGCAGAAGAGTGTTCTGAGCAGAGAAAATGTCATATGCAAAGGTCCTGTGCCAAATAAAAGCTTGGCTTGTTCTGAGATGGAAGGGCAGGGAGCCGGGGAGGGTGTGGCAGGAGATGATGCTGGATAGTGGCCAGGGACAGCTCACTGGATTACATTCTGAGGGAAATGGGAACCCATGGAAGAATTTTAAGCAGGGAAGAGATATGATCTGAATATAATTTGTATGCTAGACTGAGAGGTAGGGTAAACACAGGCTCTCTTTTACCCAGGACGGTTTCAGTTTATTCCTGCCATCCATGTATAATCATCAGTAATGCCCTTTTCCTCAGTGGAAAGTGACTTGGTTTAGATGAAAAATTATACAGTCAACTTAGGCAGAGGGGGAAGCCATGAAGATGGGGAGACCGGTTAGACAGCTGTTGCAGGAACCCAGGAGAGAAATGGTGTGGCCAGGAGCACAGAGATGCATATGAGAGCAGGCTGATGGATTAGAGATGAATTTTGGTAGTTGAATCACAGGATTTGTTAGTGGACTGGATGTGGGGTAAAGGGAAGGGAAGCATCAAGGACATGCCTCAGTTTCTGGACTGAGCAACAGAGGGAATAATCAGATCATTTACTTAAATGGAGGGGCCTGAGTGTGAAGAATTCTGGTGGGGGAATGAGAGCTCACTTTGGGACACATTGAGTGTGAAATCTCTGGAAGTCACCCCAGTCAGAGATGTCTAGGGGCCAATCAGATATATAAGCATGGAGCTCAGAATTGAGGTTCTGAGGAGGAGAAATAATTTTCTGAGCCATCAACATATAGATACTATTTGCTTCCAGATAGGAGGGAGGACAACTGTGCTGAGCATGGCTCAGAGTCCTCCTGATACAGCAAGAGAAACATGTCAATTATCTTGGCACCTTGGAGGTCACTGGTGACCAGGGCTGTTTTGCTGAGCGGTGGGGACAGAGGTCAGGCTGGTGTGGATTCTAGTGTGAGTCAGAAGTGAGGAAGCAGAACATGCAGGTAGACAGACTCTCAAGTCTGACGATAAAGATGAAGAGGAAAAGGTGAAAGAGGGAAGAGTGACATGGATTGAAGGCTGGGTTTTCAATGTGGGAATTTATTAAGAAATCAGATACTGAGGGCAAGGACTCTGCGAGGCACTGTTCCCATGATGAGAACAAGCTGTGGTGTGTCTGTAACCAGTCAAGCATCTCTTGAGCACAAGGGCTCTCATGCTGGAGATCCGTGAAAGAGAGAGTCCCCACCTCTGAACCTCAGTCTTGACAGCACATCCCTGTCCTCCTGCAGTCAGCCACAACACCCTGCAGTCTTGGCTGCTCACCGACTGCAGGTGTGACCTTGAGCAAAGTCCAGATCACTTACCTCTAAGCCTCATTTCTTCAACTGAGAACTGCAAAGCCTTTGTGGCAAATCAAATAAAGCATGTAGAGTTAGAACATTTGCAATGAAAGAAAATGGTGCCTCTATAATTACTATGCCTCAGCTTCCCACAGCCCAGCAGAGTTTGGATCACCATTGGTCTGTGCTTCTGAGGAGGCTCCTCTTAAACTGTGTTGGAAGTGTGTATCTTCATAGCTAACATTCACTCTAGAAGTGAAAATAGTATTTTGTTTGATCCAAAGGTAGTGAGGATAAAGGTAAGGGAAACTCATCTGAGAATGATTTCTTAGATAAAATGAGCTGAAACTAATTAACAGCTGAGTCAGGAGTTGGCTCTGGTATTGATGAGAAATAAGATGCAGTTTCCAGGACAGGTGTCATGAGACTGGGCTTCCCAAAGCAAATGTGCCTTCTTGATTTGGGAAGAGATCCCTGGGGATAATGCATGGAGTGAAGTGGGGTCAGGATGCAACTGGCTGGGCAGTGGAGAGTCGGGACCCAGCGAGGCCTGAAGCAGCAATGCAGTGACTGGGGAGGAAGAAGAGGCCGTGGGGCTGCCTAGGCTTGTGCCCGAGTCAGGCCCCGCCACCGAGGAGCCCAGCGTGATGGCCAGTGCTCTCCCAGCTCAGGCTTACTCAGGAGGAGAAACTGGGTCCTGAGAGTACCGGGGCTCAGCGGGGCCATGTGAGCACAGGGCAGGGGTCCAGGTCACCGGGGATTCCTGAGACCCTCCAGTCACAGGCTCATCCTCCACAGAGCTTTCACCTTCCATATGGTGCCTGGTGGCCATTCTCCCCAGAGTCTGACTCAAAGACTCCAGTTCCCATCAACATGTTCAGTTCCACAAACGTTTATTGGGCAGCTCTGGGGACGTTCCAGTTCCTGGGGTGACAGAGTTCAGGTACCCTCTTTCCCTGTTTGGAGGGAAGTGATGTGTGGCTCGTAGCTTAGTCCCAAGGGAATTCTGCAGTCCTGCATTCAAGGACTGTGTCCCTGACCCCACGCAGAGAGCACCGAGGACAAGCTGGGCGACTAGAACGGGGACAGAGGAGGTGGCAGGACACAACTGCAGGGAGGGAGAAGGCCTGGACTGAGAAGGGCCTGGAGACGGCCCCGGGGGGACCAGAGGGGCCTGGAGAGGGAGCGGGTCTGATTAGGGGAAGGCTGGACAGGGGGTCTGTCCTGAATGATGCTGATTGTGTCCCGGAAACAAGCACACAGGCACAGGCTCAGCTTCACGTGGCTGTCCTGCCATCAGTCCTGGAACCAACAGGCTGTCCTCATACCAAGAATGACACGCAGTCTCAGTATTCCATCTCTTAAGCATTTATTAGATCCGCTGCCTTCTGTGGACAGAGAACGCTCTAGCTCAGTGTCCCTGCCCTTGGGGACTCACAGCCCCGTCTCCTGAGCAGAGAGAGAAGCAGCTCAGTACTTGTCAGGCAGGCCAGGAGGTCTGAAGTGGTTGGGGTCTTTGCCGCTCCGCCCCACTCGTTGGCAAACTGGTCGGCCTTCGTGTCCTCCCGTAGCTCCTCCCTGGTCATGCCCTTAAGCAGAGGGTCTGTGATTCCCTGAAGAGTCTCTCTGGCATCACTAGAAAGGAAGAGGGCAGGGAGGGGATTAATCCAGGACTATGAGCCCCAGCCCCACCCTCCCCCTCTCTCCTCTTTCTAAGGAATCAATGACTCTGAGAGGAGCCAAGGAAAGAGGGGCTAAAACCCTGTGGTCCCCAGGCACTACCACCTCAGCCCTGCACGTCCCCTGTATGCTGGGGAAACAGTACCCATAGCGGGAGGGTGGAGAGTCACCTGCCTCACCAGCCTTGCCCTGCTCTTCACCCACTCAGACCTCACACTGGGCGCAGTGCAGGAGGGTGTTTAATAGTAGGAGGGCCCCACAACCCTACTGGAAAGTGCTCCAGGGCTTGGCCCCTCCAGGTTGTCCAAGGCAGCCAAACTCTGCCCACCCATCCCTGTAACCCAGAGACCCTGGTCCCTGATCACTTTAGCAGCCCAGACACCCCCTGGTCCCCTTTGGGCAGCATTATAGTTTCCGCGGGCATGGAAGTATTTGTCTGCACCTATGTACCCGGCTTCTCTCATGTCAGAGAAGGCTCTCCACATGTCTTTAGTCCCTGGAAAGCAAAGCACATGGAGTAAGGATTATCAGGTGGAGAGAAAACTGAAGAATCAAGGAGTGAAAAATCTTCCACTGAATCAGTTTCAGCCTGTGGTCAGCGCACCACAAATGCCACAGGGTGAGAAGCGCATTCCTTATGTCCAGCTGCCTGCTCCTGGTACTGGAATGAGCACCATTGGGGTGGGATGGGGGAGGGCTATGGCTGTGGGACCCCTTTGTCTGACGCCTGTGATGCTGTCTCTGTGCTGCCTCTCAACGAGGGCTCTACCTGATATGTTTAAGGACAGAGCGAGGCATCATTACAGGACAGGATTCCTCAACAGCATTCTATTGAAATGTGAGACCAGGAACATTGTTGCTGTCAGGGCTGTCCTGGCTATTATAACACGTCTAGCAGCATCCTTGACCTTTCAAACTATACCCCAGTGTGACAACTGAAAATGCACCCAAGCATCACCAAACGTCCCCACGACACAAACTTGCCCTGGGTCCAGATCCACTGCTGTAGAGGAAGCTGCATGTGATAAGCTCTGGGACACGTGGGTGAGTGAGGAGGTGACGTGCGAGACAGATTCTGAGAAAGGGCAGACGTACTCCTCTGCTCTGACGCCTAAGAAATGTATTCCTGCCTCACAAAAGGATCACTTGTGACTTGATTCCCCTGCCTGTTAGGTGAGTGAAAGGAATCCTGAGAACTCTCTAGTGGATGGTACTGGTGATGTGGGCTGCTTGAGGAAGTGGGTCTTTTCCTCAGCCTGGCTGCACTGTCTAATAATCTGGGGAGACCCTGAAAGTCCCCTGAGCCCTCAGAGCCCAGGCCAGTCACCTCCCCGTCTCCGGGCTGGTCTCAGGCAGCAATAGTTTTCATGGCTCCCCAGGTGACTCCAAACTGCGGCCAAGATTGATTAGCCCCTGGCTTCAGGAAGTGGTGCTGGGAGAAGTCGGTGAGTACCGTGGCCTCAAGCACAGCTGGGTTCCCACCTCTGTCCTGCCACCTGCTGACGGGCACTCAGTCCCTGGGTGACGGACTCGGCTGCTCTAAGCCTTGGTTTTCTCCCCTTCAGGTGGAGGAAGATGCCCGCTCGGAGGTGCTCTGCAGGTAATATATGACCAACTGACCCAGCTTGACTGGAACTGCCCCTGTCTTCCTGAAACTGCCCCAGATAGTGCTGCTAATGTCCTGGAAAACTCCCCAGCCCTGGGCAGAGAAGGAAAGTGGGTCCCTCTAAATTGCACGTAAGAGCTGAGTTCCTGGTGGAGGTTTTCATATGATATTAGGTTCACACACACACACACACACACACACACATACACACACCTTTATTTTTTTGTCAGTTTAGCGGCTAGGAAACGCTAGGAAACAGACTAAACAGGGACGGTGTCTCTCAGCATAGGAAGCACAAACAAGGTGTTCTGAAGGCCCCTGAATCATCCAACTAGGAAATGGAAGGAAGGAAGAGAGGAAGGGAGGGAGGGAGGAGTAGGGATGGAGGGACAGGAGAGGAGAACTTGGATCGCTTTCACCCTACATCGTGCCATTGGTCTGAGGGAAATTTCGTTCCATTTCAGACTCGTTTTGTGTCTTCCATTCATACTTATATTTCAGCTGGAAACGATGCTCATTCTTTCTCTAGTACCTGATGGACATAAATCCTGTGCTTTCCAATCTGTCTGAAATACTTCCCCGACACCTGGCACATTGTTCCACATAGTGCAACATCTCCTAAGACTGCAGCTCCAACCCTCAGGGGTGTTTAGGGTGAAGCGTAGAGGCCCAAGGATGCCATCGCCCCTCCATCAGTCTTACCTTCAAAAGCCTCACCAAGGAAGGAAAGCAGGCTGTGGGCTCCCAGCACCAAGGAGCAGAGAATGAGGCCTGTGAAGAGCTTCATTGTGCTGAAAGGAAACGAGAGGGTCAGGGAGACACGGACAAGACTTTCACCCCTCTCCACTTTGGGGTTTGTATGTCAAGGAGAGCCTGGCTGTTCATTTCCACTAGAAATAGTAGTAGTGGTCCTACTAGGAAACACTGCAGTAGGACATTACTGGCAGCCTCGAGCCCTCAATTCTGAACCCACCAACCCTGAACCCAAGACTGTCTAAGAGGTCACCCAGGTGGCTTTGGTGGAAGAAGAGGACAGTTGGGCCCAAGTTGTGTCTTACTAAAGCAGCCTGTCTTTAATCAAAAAGCATTTCCCATGCACCACTCTGCCAGCACTGACCACATATAGGAGAAATAGAAATCAGAAGAGTTATGTTTTAAAGCAAATGTTTTCAAAGAAATGGCTCCTTGAAGCGGTTTCTCACCTGATCCCCAGTGGAGCAGGGCTGCTGGTCCCTGCCTGCTGTGGAGGGGTGGCTGTATTTATACTGAGCCATCCCTGGGTGGGTCAGGGGGTGAGGATGACAGCTGGACTGGTGCCCGGGGAGAATCCCTGCAGGTCATTTCTCCTACGGATCTGCAAAGGGTGACTTACCGGACACCGATGGCTGTCCTCATCCACTGGTCATTTCCCTGGTTGTGCAAGCCTGAGGAAATAGTCAGTTCTGATCTGCCTGGTGTCTGCTGTCAGGGGGCGAAGGGCTGAGGCAGGGTCATCTGGAGAAGAAGGGTATGGAAAGTCATCTGAAAGGTGTGGATCTCCAGGATGGAGGCCTCCTGGTGGTTGGAAGTTGTGTCATTAGAGGATGCTCTTCCAGCCTAGACCTTGGTATTTTCCTGGTCATTCCCTCAGGATGGTCCCTGATGAGCCAGATAGAAGATATGTCAGAAATTAAATCCTTTGAGCTCATGTCCAAAGCCCTTGAGCCTCAAAACTGACAGATCAGCCCCACCGAATCGCTTGGAGGGTCTGGGCTCCTTCTACCACGCTGAGTGGCTCTGCTGAGCTCTCAGCTCCAAGGCAATTGAAAGCCCTCTCAGCCTCAAAGACAAGAGGTATATTATCTAAGTTGGATCTTAGATAGGGGCAATCCTGGTAGAGAGGAGTTTGTGCTTCCCCAAGCCAATCCTGGAGATGCCTCAGAGTGGGAGTAAGAGTGTTTGGTGCAGGAGGCTAGTATGTAATCTCTAAGAAACGCATAACAGGACACAGAGGGAGGTAATAGCTGTTATGGAATATGGCAGCCCAACTGGGGAAGTGCCAGGCTCCCTGTCTGGGGTTGGTGAAGGACAGCTCTTTGTCTGCTGTATTTTCCTGGCTGGGGCTTGGGGTGTCACCATCCTCCCTCTTGTCATTGTGAGTCAAAAATATCACCAGTGTCATCCTGGCTGATGAGGCCCGTATGTGTATGAACAGAGCCTTCAGCTCTCAAGAGAAAATGTCGCTTGTGCCTCATCCTTACCAGAAACATTCTCTAAAGAGAATTCTGAAGACTGTAGTTGAGTCAAGTTGACTTTGTTCTATGTTGTCTAAAGACAGAGCAAACAAGCAAAACCTGAAACCAAAGGAAGTTGATTCCTTTTTTCTTTGCTGGATTTTTTGAAAGAAAGCGAAAGTGAAGTCGCTCAGTCGTGTCGGACTCTTTGTGACCCCATGGTCTATAACCTACCAGGCTCCTCTGTCCATGGGATTCTCCAGACAAGAATACTGGAGTGGGTTGCCTTTTCCTTCTCCAGGGGATCTTCCCAAGCCAGGGATCAAACCCGGGTCACCCACATTGCAGGCAGATGCTTTACCATCTGAGCCACAAGGGATTTTTTTGAACTGGCCAGCAAATACTTTTTTTGACTCTCAACTCTCTGCCTGTTTAGTCAAATGTTATCTCATCATTGTTTGCTAATATAATTGAAAGACAGAGTCTTAAACTTGGTTTGAATTAAAAAATCTAGCATCTGGGAGAAGAGAGACATGCCAAGTGACTTCACACAGATTTCTTATATGTATTTATACCACTTAGGACTAAAGATTATCAATGACATCCATAATAATGTTGTTATCAGGGCAACAAATCATCAGTTAAGACAATACAGCTGACTTCTTTTTTGGAGATTAAAAAGTAGAGAAAATGCAAAGAATTTAAAAGTTCAGTTGCCTTATGTGACTATTTTTAAAAACCTCTTCCAAGGACCAATTTAAACTTAAATTAACAGAAACCATGTCTGTCTCATCCTGTTTATACCTATAGTGCTTATCACGCTCTTTGGTGAATAACAGGCACTCGTCCATGACTTTATTCATTCTACTGGTACTTTCTGAGCTGTTCCTATATGTGCTGGATGTCTCTAGCCCCATAATGTTTATAATCAGTAAATACGTATATAACACAAATAGTGACATCTCTCATTATTTAAATCTAATCTATCCCTGACAGTGTGCTGGTTGGAAAGCAGTAGTTTTTGGAGGGTCAGGGGTAGTAAAATTTTGAATATAAATTATTTTAATTATTTTATAAGAGAAAACATATTAATCTTTTAAATAAATAAAAATTAACTAAAAATAGCTAATTTTTACAGATAATGTCAGAAATATTTGGAAATCTGTTTAGCAGTCTATCAAGAATACCTATACAATATAAACCAAAACAACAATTGCCTAATTATTTAAAAATTAAAGAGCCCATTGGTGGATATCTTGTGCGAAATCTACACCTAATACTTTAGAAACTTGGACATGAATTCTGTTTTCTTTCTGTATTGGAACAAATATGCCTATAAATTTTAAAAATTAAAAGATTTGTTAAAGATAATATAAATAATTTTGCATAATAAAGGAACAAACAGGAATGTTGGTGACAGAATAAGTGAAAAAAATACACATCTAAGATTCATCTCTGTCCAAATTCAAGGAGCTGGGTGACAGTCTTTTCTACCTGCACTGGAAATTCTGTACACAGATGGTTGTAAACAATGGTCTGTAGTTAAAGACTATGCAATTATTGAAACACACAAAGGCATGTCAAATGGATGTCTGTTTATATTGCCTTCACTTTCCATCACCCTCCTAATATGATACTATGTTAGCAGTAAAATTTTTGAATGGATATTACTGTTTA